CGGATCAACCGTCTTGGCGTTCTGCCCTGAAGGGGCTTAAGGGATGCTTGGGGCGTCATCCCCAGGGTCTCCAACGTCTCCTCGGCACGGTGCCAATATTGTCTGTTCCCTGACTTGCAATCTCGCATCAGAATCGCATCTTGGAATTTTACAGTCAGGTGTCCTCTCTGGCCATGTTTCAGGCTGTGTCATCAGCCATCCCTCCAGTCTTACATCCTGAACGTAGCATTCTCGCGCGTCCCTCTTTGCGGTTTTGACAGGCCCTTCTTGTCCAAGGTACTTGTCTTTGAGTCTTTCCAGAGGTTGCCGTAGGGCATTCTCAGCTCGGCGACGCAGTTGCATAGGTCATCTCGCTCAACGGCATCTCAGTTCTTGGAGTTCCGCTTCTCACCAAGAGCTTTCTCTCATCACTGCGCCGCACGTTTGTAGCGTTATGTGTCAGGTGTGCGTGTGCTTGACCCGAAGCTGCTCTGCTCTGATGTTAGACAAGGAGGCGGGGGGTTGCAGGTGTGTGATATCATAAAAATTGCAGGTAATCCAACCTTAGAGGCTGAGGGTAAGCCATTTCTTCCCTAAGAGGAAAGGGGTTTTGTTCACTTGCAGGAGTCCCGTGCTGAAATTGCCAGTCTGACTGCCAAAACTGAATACAAAGATTCCTCTGAGACAAAGGTTCCATCACAGAAAGCTGCTGCTGTCCATGGAGTATCCAGGCGGACCTACAACCCGGACTACTAACCCTGTGGGTAAGCAGGGAGAATTCTCCTGGGAGAATTGGCTGTCGTTCACTTGTAGGAATCCTGCACCAAAATTGCCAGTCTGACCCCAAAATTGAATCTGGACGAAGATTCCTCCAAAACAAGAGGTGCAAGGACAGAAAGCTCCTGCTGCCCAGGGAATGTCCAGGCTGGGCCACCAACTGTACCAGAGACGCCGAGGGTAAACACTTTCTTTCCTAGGAGAAAAGGCTATCGTTCACTTGCCAGGATCATGCGCTGAAATTGCAAGTATGACTGCCAAAATTGAGTTCGGATGAAGATTCCTCCTGAAGGAAGAAGGGTTAATTGAAGCATCTTGCTACAGGGGCCCACTGTTCTCCCTCCCCTCATTTCTCTACCTTACTCAAAGGAGATTTTGTTCTGTACAAGTTCTGCAGACCTAAAATATTTACAGATACATAGAACAAAGAACCCAGCGCCCATAAATCTCATCCAGAGGAGCCAAGGTGACATCTCAATAGGTGTTATAGGCCCCAAGCCAAGACTTTCTTGAAGCCTCAGTGAACAGAACACAGAAACAATAGAAAGAACGAAAGGTCCCCGAGGTGAGGTGAGGATGAGGATTAAAAAGCAGCCCCCAGGATGAAGGCAAACAGGAACTCCCACCAAAATATTCCTCAAAACGCCTCAATCTCCACCCCTAACTCCACCTGTTATGAATATTTTAATCTATGTTGTAATCATTGCCAAACCTGTATAAAATACTCACTCTAACCTAACCAACTCGGAGCCTGTTTTCCCAGCACTAGCTGGCAGGCTGCCCGGCCGTTAATCAATAAATACCTTGCTGCTTTAGACATAAAACCCTGTCTAAACAGGTTTTTTATCTGCTTTTTTGGGCATCAATTTGGCGACCCAGATGGGACTTCTATCCCTTGGCTGTGAAATCCATCGAAGGTCAGGACCCCATCCCAGGCGCGCTAAAGGTAAGCTTTTACCTATAAAGGGGGGGCTCCTGTCTTCGTTGGCTTCTCGCAGGGGTGGATAAAGTTCCCATGATCAAAGGTATTTATTCTGTTTTTATTCTGGTTTTAACTTGCGTGCACTGGTAACTGTAATAAGGTGTTCAAACACATGGGCAGGACGCTGCTGTTATCATGTAGAACACGCCATAAGAAGGACGCTTCTTTGGTCTGGTTGGGAGAACTGAGAAATTAGTTTTCCTTCTGTTGGGAGACTATCCCCATAGTTTCCTTCTGGTTTCTGGTTCAGTTAAATATCTGTTTGGGAGAACTGAGGAATCAGTTTCCTTCTGCTGGGAGACTATCTCCATAGTTTCCTTCTGGTTTCTGGTTTAGATAAGGATTCTGGGCCTGACACGTGTCGTATTGTCTTGTCTTACATGTAGTTATTGTGATTACACTGTCTTTTTTTATATGTGGTTTGCATCTCGTGAATGTAACAAAAAAAAAACCGGGTTCTGGCATTTCATGGTCTGTGGCCAACAAAGCAAACATCTCATTAAGAGGTTTTTTTTTAAGTTTGAGTTATTATATGGAGGGCAGTTTTGAACAATTGACAAACCAAACCACCTTATGAACTGGGGTTTGGGGCACTGTTATTGTGTTAATAGTTTTGTGTGTGTGTTTATTCTCATTTTGTGTTGTCTTGTTTGTTTTTGGAACAACTGATATACCTTGCTTACCTTGAAGCATTCAGGTACACATAGTTAAAGGTCTTATCATGCCAAAAATTGCTATATGGGAAGTAGTGCTGAACAGTTAACTATCAGCATACCACATTGAATAAGACCTAGAATTGTTTATTTTGTAATTATTGGTACAAGCCTTGTGTAACAGATGTAAAGTTTACCTCCCCGACAAACAAGGTTGGGTCAGAACCAGTGTGCATGTTGTAGAATGCCCTGAATTAACATGTAGAGATACAGGCACAGGAGGGGTTGTTGTTGCTTACAGGGTACTGAGTGAGGGGGGGCTGGCAAGCTTTCCCTGAGCAGACCCGCTGGTTGAATTGGAACTAGGGGAAAATGAAAAGGAAATGGACTTTTTAATTGACACTGGAGCTACGTATTCGGTTTTAAATCAGGAACTGGTACCAAAAAGTGATGAATTTATCCAAGTAATGGGAGCTACAGGCCAATCAGAAAAAGCTTTCTTTCTGAAACCCCTAAAATATAAAATAGGAAAACAAATGGGGA